GGTCTTTTCAGGTAGGTATCGATGAGCGGGTTTAAGACATCCGGTTGTGACGGCTTATTGAATTATAATGGGAGTCAAATTGGTGTGAAGTCATAAACGCCAAATATGTTTGAGGATAGTATACTCACTTTTATTCATACCACCCAATGTCTCGCTTCAATGTTTGATTATGTTGATTATGAGCACAACGCTGATCAACTTCCGTATCCGAATTACCCATGAAATAAATTATTGCGGTTTGCACCTGAAGTAGTTCGTCGCACATTTGATTGACTTCGTGGACCTATGTCAGCTTGTCGTCTTCTCGGCGTTGTAATGAACTTCATAAAACGACACAGAATTATTTTCGCAGTCAATCTAATCTGTAAATTTTGTCTTGAGAATTTTAAAATACTGAAAACTTCAAATCAAATTCTCGAATAACGGTAAAGTTTGAGGTTTTGTCGAAACCAACAAAGTGAACAAAGGTAAATAGAATGGCAGATCAAAATTAATGAGAAACTTTGGCAATGCGTAACTGAATTCACTTTAACGAACACTTTTCTTGAAATAAACGACGTTTTTTGTTACGAAGAAACAAACAATGACTTGAAATGCAATAATACTTTTCACAATCGCACGGAAGAAATAGTTTTGTGTGACACGTCAGTCAGGCGACAGGTCCGCCAGGAATGGCCAACTATTCAAATTGATGCGAAATGGCGATTCCCGTGCAAAATTTTAATTTTTTTTTTATCTTTAACCGGTCTCATTTTTGCTAAATTTTCTTACATATAAACCTTCTCCTGACGATAAGGAACACGTAAAAAAAAGAATCGTCCGATTCGGTGCAGCCGTTCTCAAGTTATGGGCGTACATACATTTCGGCGATTCATTTTTATTAATATAGATTATTACAATAAAGAAAATTTGTTGTTTCACCATTGTTATTGCATTCATTAATAAAAATATCTATTTTTTTGGTTGGTTCATGCGGGAAAATTGCGCTTTAGAACTTTGGTATCATTGGTTCATGCAGGGAACTTATCGATCGATAAGTTTCCGGCTCCCAAAAATGTTCGTGAAGTCGCCATGGATTCGCCAAAATTTGAAAATTCTACCAATTCCATTGCCTGACATTTTCTTCAGAAAAGTCATATTGAGAAACCTAAACATTCAAATGCCTGACATCTATTTGCGTAATATTTATTTTGCATTATGTGAATCACATCTGGTATAGTGATTACTATTGTGGGGCCATACTAGCATATTGCATCAGCTTTTTCGATTACAGACAAAGGTGGTAAGAGTTAAGTATATAGTTATACAAGTATGTGTGTTTGTGAGTTATATGTTCTGAAGTAGCTGGTTTTATATTTATGTATTCCTTTAAATGACATAATTATACCAAGCATTGGGTTATGTATAAATAAATTATTACTGTTACTCTTTTCTGCAGTTTCTAAAATATCTGCTCAACAAACAATGATAAGAATTTATAAAATTTTTGGCCGCATTCAATAATACATACATTGTATTCAAGTAATAAAAATTCCTGTTACAATTCGTTCGTTTAGAATTACACTGTCGTATGTACACCGAACAGTATTTCGAGATTTTGAACTTTTAAAATCGTACCTAAATTATATTCTAACTTATTATGCTGACCCGCGTAAGCAACGGGCTAAACTGCTTACCTAATTGGGGCAGCAATTTAATATTTTGTAGTTATGAAAATTTTTCAATTTATACGACAAAATGCTATTTTGTATTATTATTTTTATGTGGCCAATTTTTTTCGTTCAGTCTTTAGGTAGAAAAGTAAAATTAAATTTCCAAAAATATTTTATTGTAGGTAGGGAGATACGTTTTTGTGAGAATTTCTTAGTAATCTTGGAATTTTTCAACCCAAAATCTTAGAAATTTAGGTAGGTACATAAAGTGGCCGTCACAATAAGCTGAACGCCTCAAGCCCTCAATAAACCCCCAACCACAGCTTATAGATGCCATAAATTTGGGCCGAATGCCGCGTATCATTCAGTTACTACTCAAATAAGAAATATGCTGTACCCAAACAGTGGAGAGTAATAAAAATTACAACCATCCTAATCACTTCAATAAGTGGCAGCACGACCGCGCCCCAGGCACCATTCGGTAACATTTGACGGCCACTATACCTAGTTAACTCTGGGAATGTATTTTGAATGAAGCAAATTGGTGGAAGGTTATTTCGACAGAACTTCTCTCGCGTCTGAAATACAATAAAACAAACCCAGCTTTTTCGAAAAATTATAAAACTTGCTTATGCGAATTTTATTTTTTTATGAGAACCCGGATATGTTAAAATTTTTTCCAAAAATTCTAGATGTCTAGGGTGAAAATTCTACACGGATTTACACACCACAAGTGCAGGAGTATCTTATTTTATAAAATTTTAAAAACTTTGTATTATTAATTTTGGAGATGACGTCATCCATTGGTGGTGGAGATGATTTGCCAAATTTTAAGAGTTAGCGTTTAACCATCGTATCAAGGGCGATGCTTTGCTGCGGCAATAAGTTATAATAATAAGCGTACGTTCCTAATTCCGTTATTCAAAAAAATTTTTGAGGAGACCAATGTAGTATACGAAGGCGTTTGCGAAAAAAAAAATTAAAAAAAAAATAAAAACGATTCATAAAATTAAAATCTCTATTAAAAAGTTGCGTATCCGAAGTGCGAATTCCAGCAAAAATAATATCGTCGACGATGAACAAACGAAAACTGCAGATATATTACCCGAAGTGTATGAAAGAAAAAAATCGGATTTATTAATAAAGCTGTCACAGAGTAACGTAAACGCTATTGAATGTGAATGGAGTAAAGAAAGGACAAAATGAGAGACGGAATTAACACCGCAAATACCGTTAAAAGTATTGTGCATTCCGATAAAACTTTAATGAAAAAATTGCCCAAGTCTATACAGTTTGGTATTGAGAATGAAGAAAAGTTGTCTCCTGTGGATTATTTACAGATAACGAAAAGAAATTTTTAAGAACTTCTCCAGATGGCTTGCAGAGATTAAATCTTCATATGCGGTTTGCGATAAAAATACTAAAGAAGCTATTAAAAATAAAATCATTAATTATTGTACAATAAATGCAGATAATAAAATTATTTTGAACCCTAACCATAACTATATGTATCAGGTGCAGGGTCAACTGCATATAACTAAAAGAAAATGGTGTTATTTTATCATCTACACTAACGTAGATTTAGAATATTTTTTGATTGAAAGAAATGATGACTTCTGGTATAAACATATGGCAAATGAATTAGAAAAATTTTATTTAAATGCCATGCTACCAGAAATTATTGACTCGCGGTGGAGTCGAAATCAGCAACTCCGAAATATATTGAAAAAAATTTATAGAAAAATGCCAAGTTTTTTTTGGCAATAAGTGTAAAATGTTGAGTTTTATGCTTTGAAGGGGTCTTTGCTTTTTTTGTTATTATTTTTATTTTATTAATATGATTTTATTGATGATGATATTTTCCTGTGATTGTTTAATATTTAAATGCAGTGTATAGAGGCAGGGATGTCAGCACTCTGTTTACCAAACTCACAAAACGCAAAACGATTACACCTTTTTGCTATCTATATCTATAAATTTCTGCTTGAAAATTCTTTGGTATCATAAAATGTATCTCTCCCTTTCGTACGGTCGGAGCCAACGTACATACTTCAAGGGGTGGTCAAATAAGCTTTAGGTATTTAAAAGGTGCTCTACTGTGTGGGCCATAAATTACAGCTTACCGCCTCAGCTAATATTTTGGGTTGCCTAACTTACCAAAATTTGCCCTAAATGATTTGCAGTTTTTTTACAATAACTAAAAGTAAAATTTTAACAGAAAACGAAAAATGGCGCAAATTCACCTCGATATTTTTTAAAAGCACATCGAGTTATAGTTTTCGCTAAAAATCCGCTCGGGTTTTACGCACTTTATTTTTTATTTAAAAAACTGCTACGTTTTTTATCATTTATGTTTTGTTTTTTTTTTTTCTTAATATACATAATATTCTTTGAACAACACGAGGGAGGCAAAAATGACCGCTGTCCACTTCCACCCACTCTTCGGCTCATGTCACCCTTTGTGCTGGGGTTTTTTTTCGTTGCCAACCTTTTCCTCTTATCGCTTTCAAAAAAAAATTCGAAATAGATTACAAGGTCATTTTCAAAATTTACAGCAGTAAATATTATTTAAATTTTATAACATAAGATACTCCTGCACATGTTGTTTATAAACCCCTGTTAAATTTTTATCCTAGACATCCAGATTTTTGAAAAAAATCAAAATTACAAGATCTTGCAATTTAATTTTGAAACTGCCCTGAAAATTTGGAAACGTTACGATTACTTAAGAACATATTTCACATGGTTATTTCTCATAGAAAAATAAGCATTTAACAATTAAGCTCCGCCCCTCGGCTTACGATGAATAAAAAAAAATCATCAGAACTGAGATTTTATTTTTTTTAATGTTTTTTCTTTACTTGGGATTTTTTGTTGGCGCGTTGTTATATTTTACTATTTGAATAAAAGTGTAATGCTATATTTTGGTATTACAATTTCAAATGAAAACGCACATACGACTTTGTTATTCCGAAACATATTGAGTTGACAAGATACGACTTCGTATTTCTTCTTCTAATAATTAAATAAATTCAAAATAATACGAAAAAATAGTAGTTTTTACATATTCAAGTTTAAAACAAACTGTAAAGTGAAGAATCTCAATTTCTTAAAAAATGGCGTTTACTACACTGTAATTCTAAACGAACGAATTGTTGACAAGATAGCTATACAGTATTGTTAATATTAACACCTACCAACTGACGTATAATGAGAAAATTAATATGTAAGTTATTACTGTATTATTTTCACATTTCAATTAAATCAAATGCCTACTCCATACGTGAATTTTCACTACATTATTGAATGATGTATAATCATTATTTGTGCAAGGGAACAAAAATAGACCTCGTCAATATAATCTTCTATGTCGTCTCCATCTTCATCATGGTAATTGTTTTCATCATCATCTACATTGGTAGAAGTATTTAGATTAGAGTTGTGCCCTAAGAGGGCCACCTCGAGGTGAGACTGCATCTTAAGGAAAAAGTACTGTTAATGAAAATGCCGCTCTAAACTAACACCTTAAAATAAAACTGTAAAATCTACTTGTCAAACTTGATACATACATAAATACACTATGCGACTGTGTCCCTAACTTCTAAACCCACATTACATTTACTGTATTTTAAGAAACATACTCACCAATGACAAAGTTCTTCAGCAATTCTTGAATTTTTTTCCTAAATTATACAAGTGTTTGTGTGCATGTTGCATTATTTTGCTGTTAAAACATCGACTGCCTATTACGAGCGCTCCACGAATTCAAACTTGGTAAGAAATTGCATCATTCCGCAGCATGATCAAAAGGGCACAAATTACGACACAACTAATTTAAATTTAAACACAAACAACTTTTTTACTACCTTCTATAATAACGTAATAAATAACGGTTATGATAGTGGTGTTAAGTACAGGTTTTTTTCTTGTTACCGTTACGACCCTTTTCTATTTTTCCGGTAACTTATGCGAAGCTGGCAACCCGTATACCGAACACAAAAATTAAAGAGGGTTAAGAGTGACAGTTAAATGATAAATGACAGATGACAGGAGGATGTAAATAAAATCGATTTCTTGCGTCACTACCAGGAGTGCGTTCAAATATTCATGGCGTCGCCTGCGTTGATAGTTGGATTGACAAAGCCATGGCCGAATATCGAAATTCACGACCTCCTTGATAGAAAGATAGACTTTCAGCAGTGAGTATAGATATAATATATAGTAGCGGTCATTTCTACGGAACCACTCGATAAAAAGTCAAGTTGGTAGCCCTGTCATCTAGTACTTTACGCCGAACGCGGTTGTATAGCACAACACGAATATTTCGGTTGCCCTCAGCTATGCCGCACTGTATCCCGTGCAGACTGTATGTTCTGTTCATCTATTTATTAAAATAAAATATCCACATTGACAATGGGGCCATCTAATCTGTCAAATTTTTGACACATATGTTTTCCCCCAGAAACCCGTCAAGGTCACTTACACCAAACAAATTTTGAAAATTTACACTAGGGAGTGGTTCTATAGAAAAGATCGCGACTTTATATTATTTTTCAAAATTTAAGCAAATTTCAAGGTCGACAACTTACCAGTGTAGTTAGCGGAGATCACAACCCTCGCAAAACTGTAGGGTCGCGGACGTTACAGTAAACAACACGTTTTGTTGTACATCTGTGTTGTACTCGTCTATAATATTGTAAACAAAAGAAAATGTAACTAAATAATATGTTATATAACAGAAAACACAGAATTTATATTGCTTTCACTCTCATGTTTCAACACTGCTGCTGTACATAGCAAGGATTTTAGAGCCGTTTGCATTGAGGGCTTAATGCTGATTGTTGTTGACATTAAATGCCAAATGAAAAAGTGACAAGTTGACAAGTTACTAGAAAAACATTCTGATTCAGAATCAGAATCGAGAGAAATTATGATTGGGGGGTATGTCTTCATATGGCGCACTATCCCATTAAACGCTTCCAATCATCCCTGATCAGCCGTTCACAATGCCTAATAATATTTTGCCATTTGTCTGCACCTACTGTACAACACCGTGTTCCCAAATATGTTTATTGTAATATAGTTTACACTGTCCTCACGCCAGTTCAATTGGAAACTACTGACAGTGGTAGGAATATTGAAAAATAGATGGATAATTCCTCTTGCTCTCGTCACTGCCATAGCATTTACCCTAGACATATTTATAAATCTGTTCTTTTAGGATCTCTCCTGGGTGCTTTTAAGTTGTTCTTCTAACTTCTCCACTCCGTAAGAACATAATCTATCATAAATATTGCGATAGAACGCGCTCATAGAAACGATTCAAATGTAATGCGGTTCTTGATGTCTTAACTGACAGATCAGTCACTATTGCGTTGTCGATAAAGTAAAATAAGGAGGTGTAAAAAAATACTAAACTACACAGTTAAGAGTAAATTTTTGGGTTTTGCGTGTCCTTGACCTTCGCGCCCATTTTGAAAAATAATATATATACAGTTTCCGACAAAAAATTTCAAACATCACTTTTCTGTCATGTCAAAAATTTTAATGTAGTCTATGCTTTATTGTCATTATTTCGGACAGCTGGAATGTCAAACTTTCAAAATACCTAAACATCTGAAGGTTGCTTTACACTATCTGCCGACTGAATGACATTGACGTCTGAAATTTTTTGGCGGCAACTGTATATATATGTTACAGTCAAAATGTTCATTCCGTCAATGTATACACTGACTAGCCAATGTATGCATTGACTGATTTGCTCAGTAAATGTGTTCACAATGGACGATGTGTAAGCTTTAACTAGTCAATGTATACATTAACGGTTCCCGCTTAGTCAAAGTATGCACCAAATAATACATGGTGACATAACCTCACATTGTACCTACTGATGTTTTAGCGGTATTTGTGATTTATTGTTTTTGTGTGGTGTGTAGTACATATTAAGTGTTAGTTTAATATTATCTACAATGGATAAAACTGCAATAAAAACAAAGTTTGTTGTCTTCTTCGTTATCAATTTCGACATGCTAACCCTTTCTTTTATTAATTTATTATCATCTGCAAACTTAAAAAAAAAACTAGCTATATGTGGGAGTAATTCCGGGAAGTTTTTTCATTTATCCTATCTTATCTGTACAGGTTTAGAGAACAACATAGAAAGTTTAACTTTTTATGTTATTTCTATTTCTCCATAAGCATTAGTGAATATACTGTTCAGCACTTAACTCATTTTTAATAAAAATGGCACTTGTACTATTTCTCTGAGCTCCTCAATTGTGATATTTAAGTATTTCTTTTTATTGAAGCTTTGACTAACAGACTGCAGTAAATGCATACACTGTCTAGTGAATGTATACTGTAATAACCCAAACATTCCGCCAAAATTTGAGACATGCGCACAAAATTTGAAAACCCGCGAAAAATTCGAAAAGTGGCCATGAACTGTGATCGTCAACAAAATGGGGACCCTACGTTGTGTTTTGAATGGCGGAATGCGTTCGGATACAAATTAGCGCAATGCGGAGCGGGAAGAGTGTAGGAAGTCAAAGTCAGCGCTGAAAAGGAACATCTTTTATTCAATTTTTGTAAAAAGAGATTTGAACTGAAATGAAATATTTAAGTTTACACATATAACAAAACAATTGGCGGAAAATTGGTTCCTCTTAAGAGAGAGGACAAAAGCTGTGAAATAAACTTGATGAGCATATTTTCCCAGCTGCAAAACCCCTCCATCTTTTATGAAAACAGTTATAAATTTAGTTATAATATTTCCAAAATCCTAACAGTGACATACAATGAAAAAAAAAACAACAGTTCGCGAAAGCTCTAGCTAAAGTAATTGGATGGCATTGCCACAGCTGTCATTGTGGCGTGTTAGAAATTCTTTCTTTTTTTAGTCAGCAGATAACAAAAATATAATTTAATTCAATAAATTTCAAAACAGGGGGTGTGTAGCGCTAGCGGTTCTAGACCTTGTCTTTTAACTGTCTTTTCGCTCTAACCAGCTACGTACAACCAAGCCACTGTGCCACCTCAAACGTCACGCTATCTCCATCCTGTGTTCGCCGGCGCCCGAGGCAACGGCGGCAAGTATTATCCCGTAACTTTACTCCATCCACCGCGGGACACACGGCACTGGCTCCCACCACTAAAGTTTCCTTTACCAGCAAGACACCCTCCGCATATCCCGTGTTGGCGGCATTTGGTATTGCGAATAAACAGTCATACGAATGAAAGAAAAATCATCAATTTGAATTTAGGCCGCTCCCCGCTCTCGCTAAACAACCCCGTACATTTTCTAATTAGACAAATTTGAGTTTTAATAATTTTGAAACTTGACGAACTATCAAACCCAAACTAAAATTGTGGATATTGCAACAAAGTTTAAGTACGCCACATTTGCTAAAAACTTTTACCCAATCGAGAATTAATTCGTTAAAATGTGAATGAAACGGAAAACTGCACATAAAATAATGTCGACAAAAATACATACAAACATGTCAAAACATCACAATAAAATATAACGTTTGGTACACATTGCGCTTTGAATGTGTGCTTTTCAAAATGGTAAATATAGAATTCACATGGTAACACATAAGTCATAAACATAAAACAGTGGTCCAGCTTTCCGTTACTAATTGAGTAATAATTATTGAGGTCAATCGACATTTCTCTGCTGACTAATGCAAAAATGATCTGGGAGCGCGGATTTTCCAGATTAGCGCCCATTAAAAACGTCTAGCCGAAACATTGATAATCTTGAGCGGGCCACCTGCACGCTCGCCCCGCCCCCTCACTCTCTTAACGATTAAATTTTGATTTGAAATTGTCCGAACATGAAAATTTGGAAAAAAGTGACAACTGGGGAAAAACCATTGTGATAACCCAAACTTCCCGCCTTAAAATTTGACCTCGAAACAGTTTGAAAGGCCCGCGAAAAATTCAAAAATTCAAAGTTTGGCCTTGGCTGTGATTGTCTAACAAATGGGAACCTACGTTGTGTGTTTTTTTTTGTTTTTTTTTTGAAAAAAATGGCGGGAAGACGTTCTTTCATACAAGTGCATACACTGTCGAGAGCGCAAGAAATAATAGACAAAATTAGGTTGGTCAAAAGCCTTCCTAAGGGGGAAAAAGAAACGAAGAACGACAACGGCTCAATTTGCCCTTCTGGCGAGTCCGCAGGGCCAAGGTGTCATCGGTCTTCATTCCCCAAAACCCCCTGGGGTTTTATTCACCGACATATTACATGTCAAACACCTTAAGATATGTGAAAGAAAAACACTCGCGAATTGACAGACATACACATATGAAAACCGAACAAACACAAGACCTACACATATGTAAATTGGATGGCAGAACCCGAATCATTATGAGAGTGTGGCGATCGAACAAAATATAGAACAAAATATATCAATTTCATTTACGAGCACAGCAAAATACCCAGAGGGGGCGTTGTAGCGCAGGTAGAGGTTGGGACTCCTGATCGTCACTGTTCTCCCCCACGACGGTGATTCTATCTACACCAACGCCTGCTCACACGCATCTCTCCATTACGAACGTGCCCTGCGAAACGAGGCGGTTACGATCGCAGATCCGTAGTGGGGTCCCGGCTATGGACAGAAGCCGACAGCGTTAAAAACCCGCGATCGCCCCCTGAAGCTATACAAAACCCGCGGACTTGTGCAGGTGACGCGATTAATCCCGTCAGTTTGAGAAGGAGTCGCGCGGCCCACGTACACTACGAGTTATGTGTTATTTACCTTAATTTCATTTAAATGTTCAATCTCTATGACTCTAATATTAAATGACAACCGAACAAGTGTTAAAGTTTCAGCAAAGAGCAATAAACAACATTTAAATTCGCCACACACTCTTACGAAAATTCAACAACAAATAATTCTTAATTGAGATTAAATTTGGACATCAGATAATTTGCAGGACAGAGACATTCATCAACAAAATATTTACATGAGCAAAACTTAGCAAAGATTTAAAAAAACAAGATCTGGTGTGAAATAAGCTTGTAC